GTAAACAAAGGAGGAGGCTGCAATGCTTGGTAAGAAATGTACGCATTATCCTGCCCATGTAATTGTAACTCCTCTGTATAGTATGTTCACAAATAAAATAAAATTAAATAAAAAATAAAATAAAATACAACTGGACATGATAAGTTATACAGGACTCTAGGCATTCATATACAAACTGTGAGACCAAAGAGGATACTTGTAGGTGAGGCACTCAAAGGCATAACTTCAGGGAACACTTAAAATACTATTTATCAAAGCAAATTCCAGGAAATGGAATCATAGGTTTTATTAGTGATGGTTGTGAAGGTGTCATTCGTTTTTGTTTTGGGTTTGTTGTTTGATGCCTTTTGTCTTTGATGGGGATGAAGGGGGCACAGAAATGGAGGAAGGAAAGTGAACAAATGTAGTCATGGTACTCAATGGACACTGTGTGGAAAATGAACTTTGTAGGAATGAGAGAGGGAAAGCAATGGGACAGGTAACATTGTCCAAAAAGAAGTGTACTTATTTCCTGACTTATGAAATGGTAAATCCTCTGTACAACATCTTAATAATACCAAAAAAATTATATATGAGATCTAGCCTAGGCAGGAAAAGTCAGTGAGATTCTTTCTAGTTAACCAACAAAAAGTTGGAAGTGGACCTGTGGCTCAAGTGGTATAGAGTACCAGCTTTGAGCAAAAAAACAGGGCCTAGTCCTTGAGTTGAAGCCCTGCTACTAGCGTGTGCACACACACACACACACACACACACACACACTCACACTCATAAGGCTCATGACAGTGTAGTTTAAATTGCAATAATGTGGTACAGCTTCAAATTCTTTTTTTTTTTTTGTCGGTCATGGGGCCTGAACTCTGGGCCTGGGTGCTGTTCCTCAGCTCTTCAGCTCAAGGCTAGCGCTCTACCACTTGAGCCACAGCTCCACTTCCAGCTTTTTCTGCTCATATGTGGTACTGAGGAATCAAACCCAGGGCCTCATGCATGCAAGGCAAGCATTCTACCACTAAGCCACCTTCCCAGCCCCCAGCTTCAAATTCTTAGTAGCTTAATTTCTGCTTATTTGTATTTGACACTAGGAATGGCACATCATCATCATCATTATTATTACTATTATTTTGTCAGTCATGGGGCCTGAACTGTGCGCCTGGGCACTGTCCCTCAGCTCTTCAGCTCAAGTCTAGCACTCTACTACTTGAGCCACAGCTCCACTTTCAGCTTTTTCTGCTTATGTGGTGCTGAGGAATCAAAACCAGGACCTCATGCATGCAAGGCAAGCACTCTACCACTGAGCCACCTTCCCAGCCCCAGGAATGACATATTATTTTGTGATTTAAATTTTTTTCTTTTTTTAATCATAAAAATTAGCTCCTATTGACTGTACAGATTAATGGCTTTCACTGTGACCTTTTATTATCAGCATCACTACTTAAGCCCCTCCCCTTCCTGCTACACTTTCTTGCACCCCTCCACCCCCCTTTCCAAGATTCCCTGCTTTGATAGTTGGATGGCATACTATTTTATGTAACCAAGATGTGGTCTGATGTCTGCCGTTGCTTTAAGACAGAATTCCTCTTTTTGTTTCAGAATTCTGGAATTGAAAAGGCCTTTCTGTTTGACGTGGTCAGTAAAATATATATAGCCACAGACAGCACTCCGGTGGACATGCAGACCTACGAGCTGTGCTGTGACATGATAGACGTAGTCATTGACATCTCCTGTATCTATGGGTGAGTGGAACTCTCAGGCCTTCTGCCCCAGGTGGCGTGGAGCTCAGGGTACAGCACTTACCGAATAGGCAAAAAGCTCTGGGGATCAAATTCAGCTCCTTTATCCTTTTCATAACTTTTAAGGCATTTTTTTTATTGATTTGATAGTAATACTTTTGCATGGATGTGTATATTCATGTATTTGATTTGGCAGTGCTGGGGTTTGAACACAAGTCCTGTTGTTTACATAGGCAATCTGCCTATGAGCCATGCCTCCCTTCTGTGTGTGTGTGTGTGTGTGTGTGTGTGTTTTGTTGTTATTGTTGTTTGTCATAACGGGGCTCAAACTTGGCCTGGGTACTGTCCCTGAGCTTTTCTGCTCAAGGCTAGTGCTCTACCCCTTTGAACCACAGCTCCATTTCTGTTTTTCTCGTGGTTAATTGATGAGTGTCAAGGACTTTCCTGCCCAGGCTGGCTTTGAACCTTGATCCTCAGATCTCAGCCTTTTGAGTAGCTAGGATTACAGGTGTGTGCCACGAGTGCCAGGCTGTAGGGTTTTTTTTTGTTGTTGTTGTTGTTGCTGTTTGTTTGTTGGTCATAGGGCTTGAACTCTGGGCCTGGGCACTGGCCCTAAGCTCTTCAGCTCAAGGTAAGTATTCTACTACTTGAGCCACAGTGCTAAGTTTATTGGTGGTTTATTGGAGATAAGAGTCTCTCAGACGTTCCTGCCAGGACTAGCTTTGAACTGCGATCCTCACAGCTCAGACTCTTGAGTAGCTAGGAGCCCAGCCACTGGTGCCCAGCCTTGTGTTGGTTATTTTTTAATTTGGGTCTTTTCATTCTAAACTGATACTGTCTGGACTGTGATCCGCCTATTTTCAGATTTCCATTGTAGCTGAAATAACAGGAGCTTGCCACCATATCCAGCTTCTTCCACTGGTATATGGAGTCTTGTAGATTTTACTGACCAGATCATCTTTGAGCTAGAATTACAGATGTGAACCCACAGCACCTGGGTAATACTTTTTTTCAAAGGACAGAAATTTATTAGTAGACCATAAAATATGCAGTAACAAATATTGAGTAAAAGCTTAGGAGCATGGTACTAACCTTACTCGGTGCATCATGTAATTTAAATTCTCAATTGTTCCATGAAGTAGGAGCTGCTATACTATGTTACTGATGAGGAAATGTAAGTTTCAGAGTGACTAGGTTTCTAACTGCTACTCACATTTTCAGTAAGGGGCAGAATTAGAATTTGAACTTGGGCCTAAATCCTGATTTTCTGCTGAAAAACCTGTTATATAGCTTTGTGAGATGTCAATAGATAAGAGATTTGAACGCTCAATAAACATCTCACTGATATTTCCATTTATTATAGAAAGTAACTACTGAGCTTTTTTTTTTTTTTTTAATTGTGCCAGACTGGGTCTTGAACTCAGGGCCTGGGTGCTATATCCCTGAGCTATTTTTTTCTTTTTCTTTTTTGGGTCAGTCGTGGGGCTTGAACTCTGGGCTTGGGCGCTGTCCCTGTGCTCTTCAGCTCAAGGTGAGCGCTCTACCTCTTGAGCCACAGCACCATTTCCGGTTTTCTAGTAGTTTATTAGAGATAAGAGTTTCACAGACTTTCCTGCCTGGGCTGGCTTTGAACTTTGATCCTCAGATCTCAGCCTCCTGAGTAGCTAGGATTACAGGCATGAGCCACCGGCGCCCGGCTGTTATCCCTGAGCTATTTTTGCTCAAGGCTGGTGGTCTACCTCTTGAGCCATAGCTCTACTTCCACTCTTTTTGGTGATTAATTGGAGATGTGTTTCATGGATTTTCCTGCCTGAGTTGACTTTGAATTTCAATCCTCATACTTATCCTCCTGAATAACGAAGGTTACAATCTCCAGTATTATCAAAAACAACAACAAAAACTACAAATAAAGGAGAAAAACTTGATTGTGTTACCACAGAATGAAACAATCTCACACAAGTAGGAATATGCCACACGTAGAGTGTGAACTAGTGACCACAGGGCATTCACTGCTGTCGGTTTAATTTTGGACTTTACATTGTCTTCCTGTCCTGGAGATCAGATTCAGCCTCCTCTTCCTCACTGCCTGACTCCTCAACAAAGACTGAGTAATGTCTTACCCAGCTTCACACTCTGTCTCCTCTGTGGACTTAAAAGTCTCAATCCTACCACTTCTCTCCACTGATAAATCTTTTGCCCTCCCAGTCAGGTTTTCTCTGTTAACTCTGACACACACACACACACACACACACACACACTATTTTTCACTATGGATAAATTGTAGGTGCCCTCTTTATTGAGATTTGTATTTGTGTATTTATTTTTGTGCTGGTACTGGGCTTGAAGTCAGGGCCTAGGTGCTGTCCCTCAGGTTTTTCACTCAAGGGTAGCACTCTACTGCTTGAGTGAGTCACAGCTCCACTTCTGGCTTTATTGCCCTCCTCCCCCTCCCACCCCAGGGCTTGAACGCAGGGTCTAGACACTGCCTCTGAGCATTTTCACTCAAGGCTAGTGCTCTTACCACTTTGAGACCACAGGGAGACTTAGAGTTTTCTAGTCATCTGTGAACCACAATTCTCGGATCTCAGCCTCCTGAGTAGCTAGGATTTCAGGTGGAAGCCACTTGCGCCCAGCTTTTTATTGGTGTGTGTGTGTGTATATATATATATATATATATATATATATATACACACACACATACATATATATGTATATTATTATATATATTTATTATATATGTATATATATTTATTCCCATATATATTTTGTCAGTCATGGGGCTTTGAACTCTGGGCCTGGGTGCTGTCCCTGAGCTCTTCAGTTCAAGGCTAGCACTCTACCACTTGAGCCACAGCACCACTTCCAGTTTTCTGAGTGGTTTATTGGAGATGAGTCCCACAGACTTTCTTGCCTGGGCTGGCTTTGAACCACAATCCTCCTGAGTAGCTAGGAGCCACTAACACCCGGCTTTTATTGGTATTTTTAAGTGCCTGACAAACACTTGCTTTTTCCTGCAGTGGTCTATTATTTTTAAGCCCCAAGGGCATGACCTTGGAATAGCTGAATGGAAGCTGAATGCCTGATTACCATCTAGATTGCTGAGGCAATCAGGCACAAAGCACTGCACGATTAATCTGGCACATATTTCTCGATGATCATTATTGTACCATATGGTAATTAGACATAAGTGGCGAGTTGTTCACGTGAATGATGTTAATCAGAGTTACTTTGCCCAGCTAAAACAAACATGGGGAGTGAGGAGCTGTCTGGAGGAAGCTGGGCTCTGGCAGCAGATTGTTTTTCTGGGCCAGGGGAGCCCCAGAGAGCCACAGGATTCAGAACCAGTCTGGGTCACAGTGGTTTTGGACTGGCACAGCAATGAGCCAGCCTAGTCCACCACAGGCTGGGTGGTGGTGGAGGTGCAGCCTGACCCCTCCAAGGAGTCAGGAAATGGTCAGCCTGTGACTGGAGGTCATGCCCCACTTGCCCTGCTGCCTGGAGGAGCCCACAGGGCCTACAGGTCATTCTTACCTGGTGCCCCAGGAACCTGTCAGCTGAGGTTCTGGGTAGAAGGCAGTTCTCAACACTACACAACATATCAGAACACTACACATACTTTAACCTCATGTGTTTCTTTTTGTTTTAACCTTTTTTTTTTTTTGCCAGGCCTGGGGCTTGAACTCAGGGCCTAGACACTGTCCCTAAGCTTCTTTTGCTCAAGGCTAGCACTCTACCACTTGAGCCACAGCACCATTTCTGGTGTTTTTCTGCTTATGTGGTACTAAGGAATCAAAGCCAGGGCTTCGTGCATGGTAGGCAAGCACTCATTTGTTTGATATTTTGCTTTCTGAAACTTTTGATTGTTAAAGCAATATATATTTATTAGACAAAATGCATGAGTATTGAAAATAAGCCAAATGTTGGTGGCTTGTACATGGCCTAGAATTCAAGCTACTAAGAATGTTGAAACCAGTAAGTTTGAGTTTTGAAGTCAGCCTGGGCAGAAACCAGGCTAGAGACATGGCTCAAGCAATAGAATACCAGCAGAGCAAGAAAGCTGAGTGAGCATAACACCCTGAATTCAAGCCTCAATATTGGCAAAAACAAACCAAACAAAAACTGTTTGTTCAGTTGGGATTGGGGGGTATACAAACTTCAGTGGTCTGAGATTTGTCTAGCAAACTGAGGACCTGGGATTTGATCTCCAGCTCCATCCTTCCAACACCCCCCTCCCAGCCCCTATCTCTCCCTTCCCTCCCTCCCTCCCTCCCTCCCTCCCTCCTTCCCT